CCGTGCGGAGGTACGTGCGTACGTACGCAGAAGTTTGAGACTTCATACTCGAGCGTACACCCTGAGCGGCTGCAGAGCAGCTCTACAGACAGGGGCGTTTACCTTTGGGACAAATTGAGGTCGCCGATTGGTCATTTGCTGACATGCCTACTGGATTGATTGACAGGTTGAAAGAAAAAAAAAACTAGAGTTGGCAGCCCCAGCCGCACCGGTGTTCTGTGTTTATATGTTGTTAATAAAAAGTTCTAAAAAAAAAAAAAAAAAAACAGGGAGCGCTGGCCCTGCAGCCCACACATCAGACCAGCCCACCAGGAAATCTCCAGACCCTCCCGCAGCCACGTTGGAACTGATTTTATTTAGCTCGTGACAAATTCCTTAATTTCTCACCATTTCAGTCATGGCATCAATGGAGGAGGAAGAGGTCGCTGCCTCTTGGAAAACAAAACAAAAGAAAAGGCCAGATCAGGGATCAAGAAGGAGAATTTAATACATTGGTGTCGCATACAAAACAGTCCGTCGCTGGGCAGTTTATTGTGCAACACCGCGTACGCATACGCAGTCATAAAAATTGAGCTTTGCATGGACATGCCCTGCGGAGGTACGCGCGTACCTCCGCGTATGAACGTACGCAGGAATATACTGGGGCCTTAACCTAACCACGCGCCCGTATTATCAGCGATAATAACGTACATTTAAACCTACTAGAAGGTAGGGGAGGGGCAGTCTGAACGCTACGTATGGGGATGATAACAACTAATAACGGCCATTTAATGGATGATAACAACCGAAGCGGGTGGATGAAGTAACCTAAGTGGGACTAGGCGCAAAAAGATTTGCTTTATCTTTTATCCACTTCTTTCTTTCCAGGTTGCGGTCACTGGTGCCCATGTCCATCAGTCACTGTGTTGGGGGACACCCTGGATAGGTTAGAAGTCCATCACAGAGCCACATAAAAACACAAGACAAAAACCCATGCACTCTCTCACTCTCACCTAGAGACAATTTAGAGTTACCAATCAGCCTAATATGCATGTTTTTGGTCTGTGGGAGGAAACTGGAATACCCGGGGAAAACCCACGCATGTACGGAGAGAACATGCAAACTTCAACCAGAAAAGTCCCCGGCTGGGATTCGATCTGACAGCCTTCTTGCTGACAGACAACAGCTCTACTGACTGCACCACCATGCCATCCAGTCAATATCAATCAGTCAATATCTATACATAAGTGTTTATTTAAATCTAATTTACTATCCTCTATAAGAAAAAAATACTTAACACAAGCAGCTCTCTGATTAATTTGGCTTTATTGCAAAGCAGAAATAGCAGTAGGCTCCAACAAAAGTCCTTGAATATAAAAAGAGGCCAGGCAGTACTGATAAGATTGTCTCATCTGGCTTGCTGGGCTAAAGTGACGTGTGCTGCCTGAGAAGGAAAAAAAAATGGAGGGCAGGATGTGGCTACTATTAAGCAGGTAATGGGATCCATCTGAGATGCATTAGAATCAGTCAAACACAGCCACACTTCAGTTCTGTTCAAATGACTGTCACAATCAGTGCAAACGCACACCTTCAGCGTGTACTGTAGGTGAGGAAAAAGAAAGAAAGAACGAAAGAACAAATGGAGGACAGAAAGAAAGAAAGAAAGAAAGAAAGAAAGAAAGAAAGAAAAAAGAAAGAACAAAAGGAGGAAAGAAAGAGTGCAGCAGCTCTCAGAAGCAGCAGCAGACTTGCGTTTGTGCTCTCTACTAATCATGACGGCTGTCAACATCTCTCCACAGCAAATGCACCATCTCCTCCTTGATGGAGACAGAAAGGACCGGGGGTGGGAGGGTGTGTGTGTGGGGGTGGGGGGTGGGGGGTGTGTGTGGGGGGGGGGGGGGTGGAGGTCACGAAAAGAACCCATGACCCAACTGTGGCCACAACAGCTGTTTCCCCTCCACTGCCTACCAACCACCGCTATCTCCATAGACCACATCCTGCTAATTGGCTCATGCTGCTTTACACACACACACACACACGCACGCACGCACGCGCACACACACACACATGCACGTGCACACACACTGTATACAGAACTTGTAAATAAAAGCAGTGAAAGAGCATACTCCCAGTAAGGAAGAACATTTGCAGGAGCCTTAAGCTGTAGTTGTGTGATGATTGATAAGTGCTTCAAAACATACTTTCAAAAGTTCTAGATGGCTTTCTGTCCTGCTTCCATGCTGGCTAATGCCCCTCCTGACATGCACATGAGCTGACAGGAAAAAAACAGACTGACACACAGAGATGCCTACTGCCATCGAGATGCTATGAAGGACAAACTGAATTAATTGGTTTCTCCTTCTGTAGGGAAGTTCTCAGAGCGGTGCGTTTGTGACGATAATGGTAGGTTGCACTGACAGGCAGGTTATTTAATAAATCCTGGGATGTGTAAGGCAGAAAAAAAAGAACAGACGCAAAACACAAAGAACCCCTTTTTTGCCTGTCATAGCCTTTAATATCTGCTCTGATTGTCTTTTAACTGAAGGCACTCAGATCCACTCATACACACGTACATACCCCTAATCATGCACCCACATAAATACAGCTAATCGCTGACATGCTCCCGCATGGCACGAGCAGCACGGCTAACACATCCAAGCATGCACAAGTAGGCTATAAAAGCGCACAAAGAAACATGCTCGAGATCTGTCTCAATCAGTCTGATTTGTTTGTTTCCTTCTAAGCGTTTGAGGATTCCTCAAGGACGGGAGGGTGTGTGTGTGTGTGGGGGGGGGGGGGGGGGGGATTTTGTTTAATCAAGTCAATTATGTCATTCAATCAAGTCTAAAATCATTTGGAGTCCCTTCTCACAACCATTGATTGCAAAGTCATGCTGAATATTTGCTCGCTGCGTTCTATTGTGCAAATAAGTCATCTTGATGTGAAGCCGTCGACCAGGATACAGTGAGGTCTCGAATGCTCTTCCACGAAAGAAGAGCAAAACAAAGTCCTTCACCTTGCTCACTTTAAGCCAAGAAAAAAAAATCCTGGGGTTTAAGAGTAAAGTTAGTAGTGCATTGTCTTTGAACAAAAGCAAAAAAAAAATCTCTATTAATGTGTAAGAGCTCTTTTGTCTCCTTCAGGACACGGTACATTATGTGCCTGTGAAAAATCCATCCTTACTAAAACTCAAGGTCAAGTGTTGATGTTGCGCAGAGTGGATCAGCTGAAGGTGACCTTGACTGATGTGGAATATGACATGAGGGAAATGGATCTCTGCTCGGTGTGGGGAAATTATCTGTAAAATGCTGCCACTGTATCAAAGCCTGTTTGTGTCTGCACGCATGGTTGAGAGCTGTGTGTGCATGTGTGTGTGCACGCTGTATGTCTGTCCTTGCATGTGCCTCAATCAGATAGGCTCAATGGCCATAGGAACAGCATGCAGAAACTACAGCAGCACTCAAAAACTGAGCTCTCCCCCCCATTTCATATCAAACTTTCAAAAAATGTCACAATACAGAGACTTTAGCTCTGAGTCCAGTACTAAGCTGCATTTGGTTCTGATGTCATGCTTTCATCGTTTCTGGGAGGGTTGCTCTTGGCAGCTTGGTTGTCAGGGCCTGTTTGCTCCGTAAGCAAAACGCACGTTGTTGACCGGGCATGGCAGGCTGTGTGACGCTGCTGCCACATCTTCAGCTGTTTGCTTGTCACAGTTTGTCTTAATATAGAAGAGGAGCCAAAGTGACGCAGTTGGCTTCTTTTGAGGCTACACTGTGAGCTCGCTAAAAGAACGAGACGCAGATGATTTGTCTGGACTCTGCAATGAAGTTTTCCCAAATATTAAAAGAGCTGCGCTAATTTAAACTGATCAGTGTCAAATTATTGATACGTTCTGGGACAAACTGTCAGCATTCATATAACGTGAAGTCATTCAATCAAGTCAGTAACAGACGGACTGACAGACAGACAGAGATGCCTGCTGTCACTGAGCTTCTCCCACTTTGTGATACTTTGGATAGAGAGGGAGGCTGTTCAGAGAGATATGGGTCCGCTTACGATAACAGAACTGCTGCTATCAAATGATTATGTTGAACTAAAGTGTAGTTTTTATGCGTTTTTAGAAATGCCTAAATATGAGTGTTGCATGAACATCGTATAAATGCAGAACAACCCAATAGCAGTTGTTACACATTAGACTACGCTGACAAGATCAAGTACAAATACTGCATTATGTATCCTTTAGTAAAGTGATAGCTTGTATCTTTTGAAGTGGGGTTTTCTATACAAGTTATGAGCAATTAACATCTTACCTGTTGTAGAAAGTGATTTGGTCAACCACAGTTTGGAAAATTTAGTTTAATTCTGATCATTTTGACAAACTAACTGCAAGATGGGAGATTGGAGTTGTTTAGGGACGAAGTCTATGCATTATGATCTTGGCCCCACTCTTATTATGTATTAGCTCATTTGAATTAAACTCTTAAGATATAATTTGCTCATAGCTTTTTTTCAAAGACTCCCACTTTAAAAGATCTGAATTACCACTTTATGGCAGCTATAAGAACAATTTTCGAGCACTGATAAAATTTACATTGTAAAAACCTAACAATCTTGTCTAACTCATGATCTGTGGTTTTAAGGTTTATTACTCTTTAAGAAACACACGTGTGTGAGTCAGACAGTTAGCAGCCAACACTTCTCAACAACAACAACAACAAAAGCCAAATTCAAACACTCATTATCTAAGAAACAGCAGAATGTCACAGAAATGTTGCCAAAATTATTCTGAAGAGACTGAAATTCAAATAATTTCTGGTGCGCTGCGTAGCCAACAGCTAATACTTCTTAGCACATTGCTAAGTGTTTAGCTATTTGTCTATCAAATCTAACAATACCCATTTTATTACTATTTGCCCCAATTATCAAGCTTTTTTTTCTGCCAACAGTAAGACCACACGCAGTCCACTAAATGATGAATATTGTGACAACCCAATGGTGGTTAGCAACAAAAGTAGTCTTACCTTCCCAAATTGTTCAAAATACTGCTTCACATCTTCCACTACTGTATTGGCCGACAAGCCGCCCACAAATATTTTCTTTGTTCTCGTGACCATCTGGAAGAGAAAAGGGCGAGAGGAGAAGATGAGTGACAGGACTTCAAATGCATCGCACAATCTTTAATGAGGCGCCAAACTCACTGAGTGAGCAGCACCTGCGATGACGGATAGCAAGGAGAGGGAGACGGGAATGCAAAGATCCACACAATAAAGTTCGGAGGCGTCATTTCGTGTTACAGCATTACTACCGAGCAAGGTTGCAAACGCTGAAGGTTACAGCAGGGAGGAAATATCTCAGCCAACAGAAGCGGGGCTGTGAATTTTCTCCTTCGATGACATTTCACAAGGAGACTCTTATCAGAACTGACCATCGCACAGTTAAATACCTTCAGTTTAGCCTTCAACGTTTCTGTTTATCTTTGCAAAAAATAATTGAATAAATCAATTTTTAAAAAAGCAGGAATAATTTATGGTCTTTCAAAAAACAATTAATGAGTGTGAGATGATGGAATCAGAGTGCATTAAAGGCTCATTTAGTTTCAAACGGCACAAATATTAAGGATTATTACCCACAGCACCAGAAAGGGCACAAACATCTGCTGCAGAGCACGTGCTGAAATTAGGAGGGCAGTTTCTCGGGGAAATACACTAATATGAGTGCAGTATCTGTGGGGGGCTATTTCTTTTGTTGCACTCAAGGCTGCATCAATTAAAAGGAGGAAAATATAAGAGGGAATGAAATTAGAGTTTGTTTGATGACATTTTTACATGAACACAATATTATCCTGACCTCAGACCTGGTCTGAACTGCTGTTTGTTTTCTGTCCTGAGGCACAGTTTTCAACATTTAGATCAGACGCACCACATTTGATTTGGGACTAATTGAGCGGCATTAAGTGTTCGGTGTAATTTATAAATATTATATTCTTTTGGAGCTTCAGTACAATGCCCAGGGTGCACTTCATGTCCCTGCAGCGTTCATAATGTTATCTGTTACGCTGTTGTGGTTATTGCTTTTGTCTGATATGATTCTGAGCTGAAGGGCTGAATAAAGGTGAGGAATAATTTTACCTCAGACACTTTCAGGTGAGCTCAGGCCATGTCCACATGGAAACAAGATTTTCAAAGCTACTTTTTTTCTTTTTTTTTTTCCAGAAATGCCTTCATCCACACAGAAACACCAAAACTGAACCAAAACACTGTAGTAACAAACCAGGCTACTGTGTAGCAGATAAATAAAACCCCCAAACCCAAAAGACTAAAAAACACTTTCCCATCCAGTTTTCCTTTGTTTTGAGTCAAGTATTTGGCAGCATGATGGCTTAGTGGTTAGTTTCCTCACAACAAGAAGGCCCTGGGTTCAATCCCAGGTTGGATATTCCAGTTTCCTCTTATAGTCCGAAAGTATGCATGTTAGGATGCCTTCTGACCTCCTTTGCAAAAGAGATCTGTGATCTCATACAGAATACAAAGGTTTTGCTATAGATGAGTGACTAGGGTTTATATTAAGGGTCTGCAACCTGCGGCTCTGGAACCACATGTGGCTCTTTAGTCCCTCTGCAGTGGCTCTTTCAAGCTTTGACCAAAACTAACTTAAAACTGAATTTTATTGAATCTTAGCTCAACAAAATGCTAGTTTTAGCAGTTTTTCTGTCATTTCCTTTGCAAATAAGTGAATACTTGAACTAATACAAGGAGTAAAACATATTCACTATCTGCTTTTTTGATTATTGTGGAAAATTTAAGTATCTTATTTTGAAGAAATAAAGCATAAAGTGAATGAGCTGCATAGCGTTTCTTTTCTTTTTTTATTGGGCAAAACAATATTATTTTCCTTCTTTACAAGAATATTGCTTTTATTTTGTTTTTAAATGTAAAAATATTAACAAATGCTAAAAATCGTTAGATATTTTCAGCTTTATAAATGTCACCCCTACTGGCCAGAAAAGTGCCCTCCAACACGAGCCACTTGATTAGTCGTAGCAGATTGTTGTGGCTCCAGACACACTTTATTTAGTGAACAAAGGGGCAGAAATGGCTCTTGGATCTTAAAGATTGCAGAACCCTGGTCTATATCATCTGCTGCACTAATGCAAACACAGATTCTGTGAATATTGATGCAATGTAGATAAGATTGGAAGTCACAAAATGATGTATTTTGGTTAAAAACACAAGGTCTTTCAATAACTTTTCACTACGGAACTGGTTTCCAAAATGTATTTTGCCAGGGCTCCTAATATTTTATTTCTGCGTGGATGCAAAGCTGAAACAATACAAAAACTTTGTTCACAAATCGCTGTTCTCATGTGGATGAAGATGGAAGAAGAGATGCACATGACGACAATGCATGTCATTCTGCCCGTTGGATATAAATATAAAATTTGCTTGTTAATCTGAAGCATGCTCACTAAACCGTCCATCATTAAACAGGGGTGGAGGCCTCCGTGTTCAACTGTCCCTCTTACAATGCCGTTATTGCTAATATCACTCAGCCCCCTGTGAATAGCAAGTGGCCATCGGGGCACTAACGATCAGTCGTTAGGCTGATGGTCCTCCTTTAAAATGTGAACAGCTAGTTTTGGCTGTCAACAGCAAACTGGTTGATCTACTATGAGAAGATGCTATTTATAAGACCGGGTTTAATACAGCTCCTCAGACTGATGAAGTATTTTGAATAAAAGATGAAACGTTTATTTTTTTTATCCGTCCAAAGACCCTGACTTAACTTAGTTAGACTTGCTTGCTATTGTTGGATTCAGTTTTCCTTTGATTACATGCTAAGATAAAATATAATTAAATGGCATATTATGAAATATTTAAGTTAAAAATAACGATTTAACAACATGGCTAACGTGTTTATTGCACCTGCTTAGCCACATCAAACCAAAAGGAAACAATAAAACAGATTTACTTTCTGAATCACATTTTCCCAAATAAAAGTCTCTTTTGAAGTACAAAGTCACTACCAGAGATTGAGAATTTACTGATCTGATGACACATATAATGATGTTTGATGCACTGCTTTGTAATCCTACTGCCAAACAAAAAAACGAGCAGAAACAGTCAAAGCTCTGATCTCCCCTGGCTCGCCTGAATCAAACAGAAATAAATGATGTGGGCAGGATAAACACACTCAAGAGATGCCCGGCGAACAATCAAGACGGCTGAAAAAGTCTACCTTGATCATAATGCTGACCGAGACACTTTCGATATGAAAGAGGCTTAACACGGGGAAAAAGAAGCAACGTTCAGCGCGAGCTGAAGTAACCATCTGTCAAGTGCTTTCCAGGTGCACAGTCTCACAAGCGCATCGCCTGCACATATGCACACAACCTCCCACACATGGGCCCTCTCTCACTGTTGGTGCTGTTCTTTATAGATTTTGCTTTTATTTGTGTTTTTAATGCATTGCTTTGTTTTTTTTTCAGTGAAATCCAATACCTTTTGAGCATAAAAACATTGAAATCAAAGGAAAATAAACATTTTGTTATAGGCATAATGATCAATGAACAGAAGCTGTAGCACATTTTAAAGATCTACATTTATTCTTCTTTGCAAACCCAATTTAAAGAATAAAGAGGTCCACACAGCATGAACTTCAAGGCTGGAGGTGCTGCCAACAGCAAGATGAACACTCAACCAATAAAATATAATTATAACAATAAGGATGACTAAGTGCACGAACAAAAGCAACATGTTTCACTGAGCTTTACAACAGCTTCATGAGAATGTGCAATGGGCCAAAGGCTTAAATATGTAAACACAGCCTGTGTAGTAATTAGAAATGGCATACAGGTGTCTAAATAGGCCTGACCTTCTCAGAAAATCAATATACAGTTGGTGCAAACAAACCACAGAAGAAGTGTACAAATATTTCTGACACACAGCATGACTCTTGGGATTTGTTTCAGTCTGATCATATCCGAATGACTTTTGCCATCGCTTGACTTTTCATGTGGCACAAGTTGACACTTGCAAATATTACCACAGTGCTATATTAATTCCACACATTAACATACCATAATGGTGCTCAGATTCTAACAAGGTCATAGCAGCCACTTGCTAAATGTTAGCTTAAGTGTATGCGGCGACACCCGGTGTTAGCCACGCTGTTGCTATGGCGGCGATAATCCCAAAACAAATCTGAGGCTGAGAGAGGGCAGTTCAGATTGGAGAGAGCTGAGTCCAGTCTGACAATGTGAGCCTAAACTGGACAGGCTGAGTCTGATATGTGATCAGATCAATGAACAGAAAAATACACAGAGCTCTTTCAAGGTCTGTGCTCATTCCTGATTTGTATAAATGTTTTTTTTTCTAAAAATGTTTCTTCCCCCACATCATCCTAGTGGCTGGCTTCTTCCACCAGATATGCAAAAAATATCAACTGCTGAATCAGACACTTTAGTACTTTTATGCTGGCCAAGACCCAGCAGCTGCATAATCCTCT